GTAGTAGCGACTAGTTCAAGGTCGAACGTGATACTCCATGTCAGGTTACCAGCGCTAAGATGCCTCATGCTAACGTCACTGCCCTCGCTTTCAGTGAGAATGGGTATCACATGGCGACTGGTAATTCCATCCTTTGGATATGATAGGGGGCATGAGGAAGCTTCCTTAGGTACCAAGGATGGCGAGATCAAACTGTGGGATCTCCGGAAGGCCACCGATTTTGCCACGCTTACCGCTGCTGGACCGGTAGAAGATCTCAGTTTCGATCATAGTGGTCACTACTTGGCCGCTGGTAAGATTGAATTGGAAGAGGAATGGGACGTATCATTTTCTTCCATGCAGGATCAGTGAAGGGCGCCGACGTGTATCACTTCCACGGCAAAACCTCCCTCTCTGAAGTGGCTCACTTCGATGCTACTGGCAGTGCCCTGGCTTGGTTGAATGATGCCACTGGATTGGTTGTGGCTGACGGCGCCGATGTGAAGACATATGGTCAGGCGTAGATGACATATTGTATTGGAAGAGTTACACTATACGTGAGGTCAGTTTCTTAACGCCACACTGACTATCGGCATTCATTATTGAATTGTGTTACACTAGTTCAATTGAATTGTGGCTTATAAAACTGGGGGAATGATATTTTGCACTACAGGATGCAATAATCTTACCTTGGGAGTTGCATCGCCGTCCCATGGCCCGACCTCGTTTATTTATTGGTGACAGCGATCCCTTTGTTCGCTCATTTTCCGACAGTAAAACTAGCAACCCAACAGTTATATTCGGAAATACGAATGAGGGGTTTACCTAACGCTACGATAGGTGAGGCAGCGTTTCCAGGTTAACAAAATGGTACACAGCGTTTAAACTCATCTCGACGGACCGAGCACAGAACAAGTCTCGAATAAAACAGATGAAAATGATCAAGTGTTGCATACTGCAGGGACCCCCTCAGTGAACTGAATCGTGGTCGACCCTGCCATCATCTTCCATTTAAGGACGACCTTGGGCCTGTGCAAATCTAGCCGTTCGACGCGCTATCAACTGCACATCGTAGGATATCAAAACATCCTCACATCAGTTACGTGCACATGCTCCATTTGGGAGAGATGTCCGCCTTTCAAGCATCAAGATATTTATCTCATGTGGCTGCCTTGAACGGAATCGGCTACCTGTATCTGCTGCGTTCCGTGATTGCTCTTTATCCTAGTCGTGCAGCCTCCGAGTCATTCATAAATGCGCAGCCGAATACAACGGCTCGATCCACCAACACGATACACTCGAACTTTGCCGCCAACGTCGAGGCAGATCTGTTCGCGCTATTCCATTAATTCTTCGGTTCAATAGTTTCCACTGGTAGTTAGGGGAGACCCAGGGGAGACCCCGGGTACTGAGAGGGCTGATTGGAATGCTTCTTAAGCGAGAATGATTTTGAACTGGGGGAAGCGAGAGTCGATAAAGCTCGACGATCAGGCATGCCTCTCAGCGGACTGGGTTTGGAAAACTAGCATGAACCTCTCATTAGGAGACAATTGAGAACGCAAGTTGCCGTGAGGAAGCAAACAAATATCACTGGTGATCTGGGAGGAGAAACGACGACGAATGTGACGACCTACTGCCATTATGGAGGTCACCATCACCACATAAGGGACATAATCAGCCAGTAGAGGATGATAGTGCCGACGATGATGGTGAGGGAACCAATACGGGAACGGCCGAAGGCGTTGGCCAGAGGGGGGCCAAGATGGGTCTGAGAGTCGATTCAATAGAAGGATAGCAGTACAAACTACATTAAGGTAAGCAATACTGGCACCAGCACCAGCCAGGAAGGAGAAGTTGCCGAGGAGGAGGCTGGCCACTGTCGCCAGGGGCATCGGCGCCAAAGAGTAACTGCGGGGGCGAATGCTCGTAGTGAATAGGCCGAGGTGGACTTGCCTATAAGCCGAGACCAAAGGGGCGTACTCGAGGGGTTTGGCATCCTCGGGGCCTGGGACGGGTGCCCCTAGGGATGGGGCATAGTACCTAGGGGGAGGGAATAAGGAGAGGAAAGGAGGCGGCCTGGAGAGAACCTGGAGTTGGGATCAGTAGCACCCAAGTATCGCTGGAAGATTATTATGAGGAGCGGTACGCCAGTCATGCCGCTTATCATCATCATAGACCCCGACATGAACACCGCTACGGGAGTGGACAAGGACACATTGGTAATCATCGTCACAATAGCCATGGCCAGGACCTGATCGTGAAAGTGGGAAGACTATGACCATCTGCTGGCCTACGGATAGGAGTAGGATTATGCTAGGCCCAACAAAATCAGGGTGCTCCATAAGGGACCGGTTAGGGCCGCTGCCCATGCCCATCGACACCCCTTGACGTAGCCTGGACGACACCTGAAGACGGCACAACTACGAGGAGGAGGATGATACGATGACTGCTTACTGTCTCTGGATCTGCTTTGAAGTATTGTCCAACGCCGCGTATGCCCTGGAATCGGCCCAATACTCCAACAGCGCCCCCTATCAAGTTTTGGGAGGTATTCGAGGCGAATGATGGGGGACCAAACCTGACCCCAGGATTCGACGAGTGCCGGCCAAAGAGAGCCTCCACTCTTACCGACTCGTGCCAGCATTGCTGACCACGCTCCTAGCATTGCCGATCTCGAACTGCTCGACTCCCCGGCCCATAGATCCATCTACAGATCAAGTGATTCAAATATAGGGACAAATACATCCATTACCAGGCCGAGGTTGAGTTTGCTTTTGTTGTTGTTGTTTATTCTGCTGCGGTGTGCCCGACAGGTTCACAGTCGTAGTGGTGTTAGGCCTATCGTTCAAACGCATGTCCGCTGACGTATCATCTCGAGCGCTGGCAGTGGAATCGGGAGTGCCTATGAATCCACCACAAAGCATAACAGACGTGGAATGTGAGCGTCAATGATGTCAGATCTCCATATTATAAGAGCCCGTGTGTAGCAACATAGAGCATTTCCTCAAATATTAGTGGTACCCACCACTAGATTTCTCCCCGTCAGATTGGAATAAGTCGCTCATTTGAGGCTCCCCTTCAGTCGGCCTCTCCCACTGTGTGATGCCTCTTGCGGCACAGTGATAATACCTAGCAATGCAGAGAGTGGTCATCAGAGCCGATGGTAGTACTCATCCTACGGCTTCCCCTCAGGGGTGTGGTATTCTTTCCAACCAGCAGGTAGTGGATTGGCCTGGGACATTACTCCAAAACTGATGCAAAAACCACATCTTGCTTGCGTTCAAGTTTCCCAACTCAAAAGCTTCGCAATGTTCCGAGGAAATTCTGGAAGGAACAGAGTTATGGTAAGACATGGTCACCATATACAAATACGGCCAAGCTGTTGATAGAAGCAAACAACAACAACAATAACAATAACAATAACACTAACAATAGCAATAGCAATACTAACAATAACAATAACAATAACAATAACAATAACAATAACAACACTATGATTACTACTGTTGTTACATAGCACACCTACAAGTACCTGGTAGCAGTCTCCTAAGGCGAGTAGAGTAAGCCGACCCTACGTGTTCTTCCCATTGGCGATGACCTGTTGATATGTAACATATCAATGGTCATCATACATCACATATCATCATATACATCAACATATCATATGTTCCCGACCTTACAATGCATACCCTGGACCTCACGATTGAGCACAACCCGCAGAGTGTCGAAGTAGGCTGTACTACCGATAAGCAGTATCTTCCTCATCTCACTGGACAAGAACCCGAGCCTGGGAAATCCTCGTTCTTACTACCCTTGTCGAACTCTGGGTACCCTCCTAAAAATGATACATCAGCTCCACTCCGCTGTTGCCCTCAACCAGGAGTCGATGAGCCCTCGATACGTATGGGACAAGAGTTGTGACGTAGACTGTACAGTGGCCAAGAGCATAACAAGCGTAGCAACACAACAATATCGACGGGTTTGGCCATGGAACAACAACGATGGAAAATCGTAAACGCATCTGATAGCTCAGAGAGGCTCCCATGTGAAGTACTTATCAACTCAACGTAGGCTATTGATGGAAGTGGTCATCTACGGCATCCTGCATAGTGACATGATTGGTCTTCACCGAGTAGCCGTACCAAGGGATATCCAGAGTTCTGCATATGAGAGGGCACCGACAGCCTGGGAGGCTAGGGTGAGACGGCCACACTGGTGCGGGGTTGAGTAGCGACCTTATAAATTTATGGTTTGATCCTACCCGAGTATGAACGCGTCTGATGACAGTGCCGAGCGTGTTCCTAACGACATCACTATGTAGAGCATAGGTGAAAGAGACATGGTTTATACCTTCGCAACACTAGTATACGATACAGGAGAAGGGCTGGCCTAGGCTAAGAAGAGCAGCAGCACCTCAGAACCTGGACTACTACTCGACCACAGTTCTCCCGAGAATCATCCATTACACCCACGTCGAGTAGGACGGCTCGGAATCTAGCAACCTAGTGGACTCCCAGAGCAGGTGTATTGGGAAGAAAACTGAACCGCGTCATGACTATGCTTGGATACCTCTACCCGGATAAAGCTCCTCTCCTCCTTCTCCTCCCCTTGCACCCTATAGTTGTTAGCATTCAAACAGACGGCACAAGACGGTAAGCTGATGTTGGAATGCACCGCGGCGCTGCCTTTTCCAGAGACCTCTGAAACGTGAGAGTAACATCCTCCGCAGCAACTAAGATGTCAATGGATGGAGCCACTAGATAGAACACATTCGGAACTTGCGGTTGCTCCATTCGAATAACGATAAGCCTACGTCGTTGACATGATACGACAGTGGAGCGATGAGGAGCCAACAGTCCCTAACCGAGTGCCTCATCGAAATGGTGTAAAAGCTTGACAGTTCTTGACCATCTCATTCTGGCCATGCGTGGAGGTATTGTAGAAGTGAAGTTGTGATGGAGATAGATACTCGTCCTAGGAACATCTCTAGCCTGATCAATGGAGGCCCCCGATTTCGAACCCTGTCGTATTGCGTTGAATACAGTACGGCAATACGGTCAGGGTGTGGTAAGCTCCTTTGAGGGCAGCCACCCACTGTAAAGAATACTCGTCTAGCAGTCGACTGATTGCTCTGAAAGGTCTTTATCATATTAAAGTGTAAGATACCGTAGGGTTACACCACAGTACCATTTCTGTTGGTCAACAATATCAGTAATGTTCTCCACCTCTTACGTTGTAGGCACCCTCGAACACGTCTCGACGCTGTAGGCTAGCCTGGGCCGCGGTGTTGGCACAGTAGGAGCCTTGCCGACTTGCGCCTACTTGCCATAACTCAACGGCTTTTACACGGATGGCGATGATGAGAGCAGCAATCAATCGATCACAGTGAAATGCCTCACCTATGCAGCTGTACTTCTCCTATGCTCCGCTGTATTCTTCGTCCTCAGCCGCCTACCGCCCAGCAAGGCTTATCCTGTTGTTCGCGCGGCGCCGTTTACTCTCATGTATGTGATCTCGTGGCGCTGTGGTAGTTCTCTGTGATGGTGTTACTACTGTTCATTACCTTCAATATCGTCTCAACTCTCCTATCGCCTCGTACGTTTTTTCACAGCAGGGTAGTATTGTATGATGATGCTAGTAGGGCTTCTTTTTTCTGGATCTGCATGGACTCATGGATCCGACAGCATCAGCAGCTGACAACCCCATAGTGGGCAAGGGACAACCCGACATCGCTACCGTCGATACGGACCCGCCACTGGTGGTCCCCGAGGGGGAGAGAGCGCTTTACACTCGGGTGTTTTTTCGGTAGGTTTTACCCGCAACCGCAGTTTTTTTTGCATATATCGTCCGCGCCCCTCAGGTGTGTGGTGCCTCAAGAGTATGCATCTAAGCTGAAGGAAGATAACGGCAAAGTAGTATGCCGGTCTGGCATAGGCCATAGTGGTATGGTCAGGTAGTTGTAGTTGGGGACGGTGGAGCATTGGGCCATTGGGACCATCGCAAAGGCATCGAGCTCTTCACCCAAGAGGACATGTTCCCATGCTTTTATACTGTGGAACCTATGAAGTTCCAAACTAAGTAATGCTGATTTCTGGGAGTGGTCCGGTTGGGATGCGTATCGTCTTGGCTCTTAGAGTCTGTGTCTCCTATCAATACGCCTTGGTGACCCAGGATGGTGATTTGTTCACCTATATTGACAAGGAGAAAAGAAGTATGGTACCAACCGGAGGGGAAATGACTGTGAGTCCTCTGCATATCACCGCGTTGATGGAACCCTGCTCGTGACAGATCGAGGATGATTTTGGTATGTATCGTAATGCACTGCACCCAGAGGATGTGTCCTCACTCTTTGACGATCGGTCGTCGAGTGTTGAGGCACCTAGTCAGAGTTCACAGACCCCCGAGGGCAACGCTCACATTGTACTGAACATAGAGTGCTTATTGGTACTAAACCACAGTTCGTTGTAGTTGTTCGAGCAGAGGATGGCCGCTATTCGTTCTCTGGACTCCTTCCCGCCCTTGGAGAGCAACAATGGTGTCATCATGGTCAGCTTTGAGCTCCCTGTGAAAGTAGAGAAAGTCGATGGTGAGTGAGCCGATGTCGATGGTGTTAGTGTTTGCTGTATTCCTGTGCTGGATGCTGTAGGGAAATGGGTGGCCAGAGCATCGGTATCGGGCAATGTGATCCCTTCTATGTACAAACTGCGGCATGAGTACCCAGTCAGGGTCATGTTTGTTGGCTGGCCTGGAGTGCATGTGAAGGATTATGCGGACCAACGAGAGGTGATTTCCCCACTATCATTTTACGGTTTTTCAATCGGAAATGTTGTTCTTGTTAGATTCGCGAATTACTGTTGGATTACGACTGCATACCTGTTTTCCTCGCTGAGGATCTCTACCACAACTTCGTCAACTTCTGTGACAGGTGATTGGACTGCCGCTTTTCTCTTGATAGGTCGCATTCGACTCGTAGGTTCCTGTGGCCCATCTTCCACAGTGTTGTTATGTCGTTCGTGTCGGATGAAATTCCTCGGCCCTTTGACCTCCAGCAATGGGCTGCCTATCAGACTGTTAACCAGAAGTTCTCAGAGGTGATCCCCTTCAGTCTTAGCGTGCTTGTGATGATCGAATTCAGGTCGTGTGGGCCGCATGTCGAGAGGATCAGGATATGGTCTGGATTCATGATATATATCTACTACTCATGCCCATGTACTACGCGTCAATGCTAGCCTTGCTACCTGCGCCTCGAATTGGCTGGTCTCAGGCTGGTCGGCAGGAAATTGCCTACAGCCAATGTTGGCTTGTTCCTTCATACGCCGTTCCCGAGCTCGGACCTGTATAAGTGTCTGCCTGTGAGAGAAGAGCTCCTCAAGGGGATGCTCTGTGCGGACCTGGTTGGGTTCCAATTCTTCGAATATGAGAGGTGAATCTAGTAGGACCGCCGGGGTGGTCGGGTATGTCTTTGTGTTAGGCATTTCCTTACAAGTTGCAAGAGGATACTAGGGCTTGACTACCACTTTAAGAAGGGAGGATTCGTCTCTGTTGAGTAGGCGGACCTATACCTCAGCGATGATGATGTTTACTTTGTTGTCGGTAGTTACTTAGGAAGGGAGGTTGCTCTCAGAGTCGGGCATGCTTGTATGCATTATGACTATACCATGCATAAAATGCAGGAGCCCGCGGTATGTAGCTCTAGCAGCCCTGTGATTCGACTCCATATTGAAGTGTTAGGTCGTTGAACGGGCCCGAGCCCTCCGAGCCCACTACGGTGACAACGTTATAGTGTATGCCTCAGTTGATCGGTGAGTTAGCCTAGGGCCTGCCTTCTCGTAGTGATTAATGACTGTTGGATGCTTAGGTGCGATCGTCTGTCCGGAATCGGTTTGAAATTCCGAGCATGGCGGTTGTTTCTAGAGCAGCACCCTAACGTTGTTGGAAGGGCCGTACTCCGACAACATGCTTATGTGCCCAAGACTCACTCAGTTGAACTGGCTCATAAACTGTAAGCTCAAGTGCTCGAGGCCTATCACGAATGTAACCCCTTAGGGCATGCGAATTGAAGGAGATAGCAGCGAAAATAAACAAGCAGTTTGGAATTGAAGGTAGTCTTCATATGGACCTCTCCTTCGCCCTCATTATCTCTCCTAGTCATTCACTTCGAGTCGGGCCCACTCAGTGCTGTCGATCGTATGGCTTTGTTGAGAGTTGCAGATGTTATATTGGACACTAGCGTGAAGTCCGGTCTCAATTTGGGTAGGTCTGCCGTAGTCTTCGGGCGCCTCATCATCAGGAGTTCTATTGCAGTCCCGTTCGAGTACTATGTGGCCCGTGCTGCACTATCACCAACTAGTCCGACCAACCTCAGAGGGGCGGTCATTTGCAGCGAGTTTTCGGGTTGTTCCCGAGTCCTTATTGGCAGTCTTAGTGTTAACCCGTGGAATACCGACAAGCTTGTCTCAGCCATTCAAGATGCCAAACACATGCTGGTAGGAACATACCCTCACTGCTGGCTCAGTATCACTCCATGTAGGGTACTCCGGAGCTTGCCGAGCGGTTATATCGCGATACAGCGTACGTGTCAAGTCATTCGCTGCTTACATGGGCGGAGGATTTCCTATGTGACCTACGGCGGGCACAGAAGAAGGCTGAGATGATGTACATCACTTATGGATTCGGAGCTAATTTCCGGTGGGTCATTGGTCTTTGATCATTGTGGGTTGATGACGATAGTAGCGCTCTAGGTTGATGGGGCTGTCTGAGGACTTTCAAAGATTGGAACATGATGAGATCCTTGCTGCTTATAAGAGGTCCAAGTTTAGAGTACTGTTTTTGGATAATGAAGGTAGCTGTTCTCGCATTGAAGGGTGTTTGCTGTGATGTTGTATAGGCACACTATGCTCGACATCGTATATCTCTCGGAATGCTTATGGTTCCCCTCGTGCCTCCTCTGGGCAGATCCCGAGCTCGTCTAGTGAAGGAGAACTGACTAATCTACATATGCATGGTAGTCCACCGAGTGAGAAGGTCCTCCAGATGCTGAGGTGGGACAAGCTCGGTGTAGCTGCTTTACGTGATGTTGTTGTTGTTGGTCAGAGTCATTTGCCGAGACCCTCGTAATGTAGTAGTCGTCCTGAGTGGTCGGAGCCCTGACCATCTCGAGAAGTGGTTTAGCAGTGTAGATCACATAGGTAGGTCATCAAGATTATTTCTCGATCGTACTTCCCCGGTGTTCTAGGTCTCGCTGCTGAGCATGGGTACTATTATCAAGTACCAGCCCTCAATGGTCCGGACTACCAACAGGGTACCACTCAATCTTCACATCGTCATTGGGAATGCCTGCTCAGTGAGCTCGTGGTGGCTTATTGCATGTGGTACTTGCTTTGTCTCTTGTTCAGGTGATAGTTATGCATCTGAAAAGGACGACACGTCTTGGAAGGCTATAGCGATGGAGTTGATGAAACAGTGGGGGAACCTCACTCAGTCAGGTCTAGGATTGTGAATGGCTGCTAGGTATGTGGCCCGGACCCAGGGATCGTATATCGAGTATAAGGGGTCGGCCTTGGTGTGGCAGTATGGTGATGCTGATCCTGATTTTGGACAGTGGCAGGCCAAGGAATTGGCCAACAGCTTGGAGGAACTCCTTGACACGTAAGTTCGGTCCGGAGACTCTCAGCAGCTCAGTAGGCCCTCAAGGTACAACGTGGAAGTGGTTTGTGGTAAGGGCTATGTTGAGATTAAGGTGAAGGGTGTCAACAAGGGTATAGCGGCGCAGATTATATTGCAGAGGCTCTCTAGCATTCGGGGCCAACCCGACTTTGTGAGCAGCTCAAGTTTGTACTTGTTGGATAATGACGTATTATTCAGGTCCTCGCAATGGGAGATGACCAGTCTGATGAACTCATGTTCGAAAAATTGAAGAGTCTATACGAGCCCAAGTCGTCTCCTATTCCTCCACACATGGATAGTACGATGGGCGCCACTCAGGTGTCTATTTCACTATTGTCGTGGGCAGGTCCTAGGCCTCATCCACCTTCACCGACTGCATCTTCTGGCAGCTCTGTGGAACGGCCCCACCGAACACTCGGGCTTAACTCGGGCAGCATTCATCGCGATCTCAACCAGTTGGGGACGGGCCTCCGAAGGTATTGGTATGGGCTGGGTTGATTCGATCCTAGGCGGGCTGCTTAGGCCACCCTTCAGCACGACACCGTCATCAAAGGCGGGTCAAGCAACAGTATGGAAGAAGGAAGGTGGTAATCTTGGGCTGCTGGCATCGCATGGGACCAGCACTAGACGCCCGCAAGGCGAGGCATTGTCGATCCAACAGCACGGGAAGGGCGCTACTGAGGTCTTCACTGTGTCTGTTGGGAAGAAGCCTAGTCATGCGAAGTAAGTGAGATTTGTTATTTACCAGAATACATTATCCTACCACTACAGGTGGTTTGTGGCTGATACGCATGAAGTTTCTGAAGTGTTGGCCTCTCTTGCTACGGCTTCATCATCGGCGGCTTATGCAGGGTACTTGTATATCTTCGATGCGGGTGTATAGCTATTGTAGTAGGTATGAAGTACTCAGTTCGAGTACGTGCCCAGCATGGGGACGTCAATTGAACCCGTGTGAAGTTAGCCGGTCCGGTGGGGTTGCGTTGGGCAACGGCTATGCTGAGCAGTACGAGGGAAGTCCGGAAAGCTATATGTTCTCATACGACGAGAACTTCGAGGAGCAGGAACTTTTCATGAGTCGTGGTGACTTTGGTGAGGAAAGCGGCGAAGATAGCGAGATGGCTGAGCTTCGTCAGTATTTATATTAACCTTAGCCTATTTGTCCCACTCATGAGCCTATAGGACACTACGGTGTCACAGTGATTGCTTAAGATCATTTTTTGTGAAGTGCTTTTGCTATTATACTATTCCCATGATTACCATATGTACAACACTATCGCGGCTGTCCTCGACTAGGTATTATTCGTACACAGGTCTAAGGCTCTTTCCACTCTCGCGACATTTTTGAGACCATTTCCCTTTCAGCACACAGTGTTTATGTTAGCATGGGGATTATGTACTTTTGCAGCGTGTTGTCGTCGATTGTTGTTGTGAACGATCCTTATGAAGCTCGTACGGTTCCTGCAGAAGCTCAACTCGGAGACAGTTACTGTGGAGTTGAAGAACGGCACTGTAGTTCATGGGACCGTCACTGGTGAGTCCACTGTTCGATACGAGTGTTTGAGGTTGTATGACGATAGGTGTGGATGTGTCGATGAACACGCATATGAAGAACGTGAAGGTCACAGTGCGCGGCCGCAACCCAGTGGGCATGGACCATTTGACCATCCGCGGTACGCTATAGAGTCGGCTACAGTTGTGTACTGGGGGGGTTGTGTCAGGTAGCACTATCCGTTACTTCATCCTCCCCGACCATATCCCTCTGGACACCTTACTGGTAGTAGTCGAGGTGCTCTGTTTGATCATGCACTCCTCTTGTAGATCGATGATGGCCCGAAGAATAAGGCTGCTCGCGAGAGAGGTTTCGGTAAAGGGAAGGGCAAGGGAAAGGGCAAGGGTAATGCGGCTTGCCTTGTTTATGGTGTAGGTGCAGATGTTATGTTGGTCAGGTAAGGGCAAGGGTAAAGGTGCCCGATAAGCGTCTAGGGGGGGGCAGCGGCGGACTGGAAGTAGAATAACGTTAAGCCTCGACTTGATCGATCTCTCATGTGGGAGTACTCGACCGGTATACACCATTGCTGTTGCCACTCAATACAGGGCACTAGTCCGTTAACAGCTCGTACCCTACACTGACGATGGGGTCTCGTTTGGGCTTGCATATTGAGTTGAAGTCGTGAATTATTAGTTTGGGGTTGGACAGTTGTTGGGCGTATATCATGACGGAGCCTTTTCCTATCCGGCCGAGCTTATGCTATTCTGTGGAGGATTGGCGGCGGCTCGAGGCTGAGGACCACGTCCTTGGTACCATGTTGGGGACCATCCCGAGTGACGCTCAGCAGAATAGCAGGCTGGGTCTTCCGATGGTGTATCTGGATAGTAGTACTACGATCACAGAGCCACTTCATAGACGTGATGTAGTGGCTCGCCATTTGGCGGGCAGAGGTCTGTGGGTTTGCGTGCAGCCTAACTACGGCAGTGATTTGGTGGTGTACCTAGAAAACCCGAGGAAGAGCCATAGTAATTGGCTAGTGCATGTGGTAGATGCTGGTAAGGGCCCTTCGTCGAGGGAGCTGGTACTGTGGAGACGAGTGGCCGAGGGGGTCAAGAAGGCGTGTGTGGTGGCGGTAGTAGAAGGGCATGAAGTTAAGGGATATTGGGCGATAGCTAGGGGGGACCCGAGGGAGAAGGGAAGGGGTTCGGAGGAGGAGGAGGAGGAATATGATGCCGTATTGGATGATTAGCATCGACAGATAGCAGTTCCTCAGAAGTGTTTATCAGCTTTCACCTGAGTTGACATGTTGTGTAGAGTAAATCACCC